GAAATGTGTCCGGACCCCGCAGTAGGTTACTGTCGCCGGGCCACCCCAGGGGGGAATGGGTGCTGTCCCTCCGCCTGCTCCCTCTTGGCGACTTGGTGGCTGTCATCCTCCAGAGGCCATTGGACAGTCAGGCTTGGGCCCACAGTAACGAAACTTGTTGGGTCTCGCGGGATGGGCGGGGGAGGTGGAGCCGAGCCTGTCCTCCCCACCCTAACGAGACCCCAAGTCATCGCCCACAAACGGCCTCTCTGGCTCTTCATCCAGCTGCTCAGTGGCCTTGATCCCAGAGACTCAGAAACAGATCTCGAAACCCAGCGGCTTTTGTCAGAAATGTGTCCGGACCCCGCAGTAGGTTACTGTCGCCGGGCCACCCCAGGGGGGAATGGGTGCTGTCCCTCCGCCTGCTCCCTCTTGGTGACTTGGTGGCTGTCATCCTCCAGAGGCCATTGGACAGTCAGGCTTGGGCCCGCAGTAACGAAACTTGTTGGGTCTCACGGGATGGGCGGGGGAGGTGGAGCCGGGCCTGTCCTCCCCACCCTAACGAGACCCCAAGTCATCGCCCACAAACGGCCTCTCTGGCTCCTCATCAAGCTGCTCAGTGGCCTTGATCCCAGAGACTCAGAAACAAATCTCGAAACCCAGCGGCTTTTGTCAGAAATGTGTCCGGACCCCGCAGTAGGTTACTGTCACCAGGCCACCCCAGGGGGGAATGGGTGCTGTCCCTCCGCCTGCTCCCTCTTGGTGACTTGGTGGCTGTCATCCTCCAGAGGCCATTGGACAGTCAGGCTTGGGTCCGCAGTAACGAAACTTGTTGGGTCTCACGGGATGGGGGAGGAGGTGGAGCCGGGCCTGTCTTCCCCACCCCAATGAGACCCCAAGTCATCGCCCACAAATGGCCTCTTTGGCTCCTCATCAAGCTGCTCAATGGCCATGATCCCAGAGACTCAGGAGCAGATCTCTAAACCCAGTGGCTTTTGGCAGAAATCCCTCCAGATTTAAGTGTTAAAATTTCAGAATTTCAAAACCACATGGCCCTACTGCAGCCACACGACATCATATGTTAGTCATAACAAGCAATAGAACACAAATTGTCTATTGTTGCCTTTTCAGCAGATCTAAGTGTTGGGGTAAAATCTTAAATAATGGTGGGTCTGGTGTCGAAGTAGTGAATGTGATCAAAGTAGAGAGAGAGTAATGTGGAGATCATCTGCCCCACAGGCAGGGGGAGGGTGTGGGATAGGGGTATACTGGGATTTTTGGTGGTGGAGAATGGGCACTGGTGAAGGTACGGGTGTTTCATTGTATGACTGAGACTTAGACCCAAAAGCTTTGTAACTGCTCTCACGGTGATTCAATAAATAAAATTATAAAAAAAAAAGTTTGAAATGTATAATGGGTAGGAAAAGAATTAGTCTCTTCATTCACGCAAGTACTGCTTTGTACCAAAGTTGACAGAAACAGTAGCAAAACGTCAATGTTTGAAACTGTAGAGTTATTAGAATTATAGCAATCTTCAATCATTAATGGTAAGTTGATTCGGTTACCATCATTAGTAAGGCTTAATTGCCAACACATATTAAAAAATGGGGCAGGAGTAGAATAGCTCGGTTTAAGTGCATTAAAAAATTTCATGGATTTAATCATACCTCAGATAGCATGCTGTAAAATTTCTGTCATATTTAATGCCAATTTTCCCTCCATTCATTTAAGGTGATTGAGAATATTCACTGAACTCGCTACTTGTTAAATTTGAATATGACTTTTGAAGGATAAGCTGAGATAATATACTGTGAGATCTGAACTAACTATGGTGCTCATTTTCTGGGTCTAAAGATTTTCAAGTTCCTTTTTCTGCATTCCAGTCAAACGAAGCAGAATTATGAAAGTAGTTTTGCATTCTCATTAGCACTTTGGCCTGAAATACACTGGATATTTGATGATATTGATATTTACAATGTTGAATTTCTGATGGATAACTTGCAATACATATTTTTTTACCCGACTCTTTGCTACTAAATTCCTGCAAGGCAGAATATAATATATATGTATATATTATATATATATGTAATATGGAAATAGTGAATCGTCAAAGCAGCATCATGTAGAGATTGTAAGTAACTATATATATATGGTGTGAAATCATGAAATCATGAAGCAGGGAGCAGGTTAGAGGATATTTAAAGGGTGGGTCCAATGAGATGAGATGGGAGGGGCTGGATAGAGCCCATCATTAGTTAGCTCCTCACAAGCATCACATTGGCCAATCCCAGGAAGCAATCAAATGGCAGAGTAAAGAGGGCACTGCAAGGAAGGAGTGACAGTTGTGGCCATTGAGAGTTTCAGTTAGTGCTTAAGCTCTAATTTAGAGGAGGTGGCCAGATTGGTGGTTGCAATCTGATGGGAGAAACAAGCGAGGGTAAGGAGAGAGAATATTTATAAACCCAGACACTTTATAAGGGAGTGTTCGAGGCTACAGGTTGTTGCAGTGTGCATGTGTTTGTGTGTGTGTGTCTCTGTGTGTGAGTGTGTGTGTGGGTAAGAGGGGTTGTCCAAGGAACGCCTTTTCTTTCCTGTCTTCCATGGCCATCCGAAAAATTTGAGCTATTAACTAGGAGCTGTAACACTGAACAAATCCAGGCTCATACGGACAAATCACAGGCATCCGCCCTGACTCAGAACTGGCCTCAAACTGTGGAGACATTGTGGACAGCTTCAGTTATACCATGAAGGGATTGTGGCAGGCATCTCCCAGGGGAAGTTAAATTTTGCATGGTAGTTTAACAGGTGCCTGAAGGGCTAGTAAGGAATTGGACTGCTTGTTTCGCCCTGTCCCTGGCCAATTTTTGATCCCCAGTCCCCCGACTTGTTTCTCAAATAGCTTCCCAGTGGATCCTTTGTTCAGAGCCCTGAATAACTCTGAACTCTGCAGGAATCGACTGAAAAACCAAACCAAGACAACAAAAGCAGTATGTCCGTAAGTGCAAAGTATGGCTTTCAGGCCTTTATTGTTTTCTTATTTGCTATTTTGTCTTAGCAATCCTACATGATACTGCCTTGATCATTCCAGTTTTCCAAGCCATGATTGGGAATAAGGTACATACTGGAGTGTACATACTACTATCTTTTCTGCTTCTGATGTTTGGCAAGTGTTAACATCTCTCTGTTAGTCTATATGACAAAATGAATATTTTCATCAATGAAAAGGACTTGGATATATAGATTGATGTGAGATGCACAATACTTCATATGTTCATCTTATTGGGGACTTAAGGTCACCTTCTTAGAACTGAAGTCTGGTTATGGGCAGTGAATGTTTGGTGGGATCTTTAGGCTCTTTCGTAATCCAATAAACTTGCCCTTTTCTTGGGTACAGGGTGTTGGATCACATCCACTGATTCTTGGGCTTTTCTCTTGACTATCTTCTCAGGGATTAGGGATCAGTCCTGATGGATCCCAGGGACCACATGGAGTGTTGGGGATTGAATTTAGGTCCAACATGGGCCAGACGAGAGCCCAATTCACTGTACTCTGTCTCTTCAGTCCCCTAAAGTCATTCTTCTCCCACCTCAAACTTCCCATTCAAAGGAGTGTCTTGAAAATTGAAAAGCATTGATGGAAAAAAATCTACAAATTCCAAAATATTTCAGATAAAAGAATGTGTGTAACAAAAATGTTACAATTTGGTTACAGATCTAATTTGGATGTGTAATTAAATTTGACTTTTGACATCCAAAATCGAATGTCAATATTGCAGCTGTTTTTGTATGAAAAAAAGAACTTCCAAAGAATATAATACAAACCATGCTCTATCACGTAAAAAATGTCAAATACAGTGCTCTTAGCATCTACTCACATATCATTTAGTTTTAGGGAATAAGTCGTGATTAAAAGGTCTATAGCCAATGGAGTATTATGTAGATGTTAGAAAAGATGAAGTCATGAAATTCACATAGAAGTGGAACTACTACATGGAAACTATCATGTTAAGCGAAATGAGTCAGAAAGAGTGGGATAGACACAGAAAGTCTGCATTTATCTGTGGAACATAAAGCAGCAAAATGGGAAACTAACACCCAGGCGTGGCCAAGATTAGTACCAGGAATTTTGCTCTGTGACTTGGAGGCCAACCACATGTGCTAGGGGAAAAGGAAGCTCAGATAGAGAAGAGAGCACCAAATAAAGGGTGTTGGGAGGATCCTCCCAGGGTGGGAGATGCATGCTGAAAATAGACTATAGACCAAACATGATTGCCCCTCTACGCCTCTCTTGCAAACCTCAGGACCCAAAAGGAGAGAGAGAGAACAAAAGGGAATTCCCTGAGACAGAGACAGGTTGGGATGGGGGGAATGGGGATGGGAGGGATGCTGGGACCCGTGATGATGAAGCATGGGCGCTGGTGGAGAGATGGGTACTTGATCATTGTATAACTGAAACCCAAGTACAAAAATTTGTAAGTCTTTAACTGTATCTCATGGTGTTTCACTAATAAAAAAATTTTAAAAATTAAATAAAAGCTCTATAAATATGTTTTGCCTAGCTGAAACGTTAACAGCAATAAGTGGCACACATGAGTCACATTTTTTTAAATATCTGTACCAAAAATATTACTTATCCAGTTTCCACTCAGTATCAGTGCTTTTAGCAATAAGACATTTTGAAAAATGACTGTTAATATCTATGGTTCCAGATATAAGTCCCATAGCAAAGCCTCTCTTAGCCAAAGCACACATTGACACCAATGCCCTTACCTACAATGTCATGTTAGCAATAGTAGCACATTCACGTACAATTCCTTTAATCCAGACCCTTAACAAAAAAGACACTTAATCAAATGTTCTTGTAAGTGCACATACTGAGGTTTGGGGATGGTCTTAGCTCAAGGGGTTGCAAATCAAAATGTGCTCAGGTCTTAGTCCTGGTTCTAGACTCAGAGATAACTCTTGGCAGGGTTCAGATGACTCTAAGCTTGACCCAATTCCCAGGGCTTCCCATAGGTGGACATGGTGGTAACATCCTGCGAGAGCGCTCGCCTCTTCTCCTCATCATTTGACCCCATCCTCCCATTTCCAGTTGACCTGAATGAATTGGTAGGACCTGGAGCCTCAGTGCACGTCCACAAAGGTAATGTGTCTCCCCTTCCCTTCTCGCGTTCTTCTGCTTACCAGGGCCTGTGGTTTAACCCCATGACTGCTAGCTTCCTGGGAGAGATCTAAGAGGGGATTGAATAGTACATCAAGTAGGAAAAAGCCCTCGGAGTGAAGGTGTCAGGGAAATGTGGGGGCAGTGGAGGGACCCTGGACAGGTGGGGACAGGGCAGGGGCTCTGGGCTGCAGGTTCTCATTGCTGCTCACCCTTCTCCACCCTCCCCGTTGCTGCCATACGCTGCTGGCTGAACTTGTGCCTCTTGTCTCCTGCAGCGTGGAGTGGACGTGTCAGGACAAGAGCAGTCTTTGTCCATTCCAGGTGGAAGTACCCCAGGCCTGTTCCAGCAGAGACCAACCAACGCTTTTTTTTCAGGGATGTGATCTGGCACAACTCAAAGACCTCTGGGCTTCTTTGTAGCATTAAGAAGTTATGACCTTGTTTCAAGAGGTGTTGGAATGTTTCCAAATCTTTGCAAAATTTTGTCTGCCCTCAAAATTGGGGTCAGTTATTGTTAGAACCATTAATAATAATAACTCTTGTTGAAGTTTAGGCAACATGTTTATAATAGTGTTGATTTATTTGATGAGTTACCATTCCTCCCCATTCCTTAAGTTACCCATGCTCTTATGCTATTCTTGTCTGCCTTTCATCCTCCCATATTCACTCCCTTCTTACTTGATAATTTCAGGTTTGTAATTCATAGCCTTGGGTTTGTCTTCACTTGATACCATTTCTTTGTTTTCTCTCTATAGATACCACAGATGAGTGATATCAGTTGGTGTTTGTCCTCTGACTGATTTATTTTTGGTTCTTGGCCCACTCCTGGCAGTGCTCATGGCCTACTCCTTTCTCCTCGCTAAAGGTTCACTCCTGGTGGTGCCTGGGGACCAAACTCAGTCCTCATGTATGCAAAGCATGTCCTCTGGGCCACTGAGCTCTCTCTTTAGCCCTTTCTTCTGACTTCTTTTATTAGCATCATACCTTCCAGTTCTATGTGTGTTTCGGCAAACTGCATCAGTTCATCTTTTCTTTTTTTTCTTTTCCCCTTTCTTTTTTTTTTAATTGAATCATAGTGATATACATATTTACAAAGTTGTTCATGATTGGATTTCGGTCATATAATGTTTCAATACCTGTTCCTTCACCAGTGTGCTTTTTTAACCACCAATGATCCCAGTTTCCCTCCTGCACCCGACCCCTCTCCCACTGTCTGCCACTAAGGCAAACACCTCTCTCTCTCTCTCTCTCTCTCTCTTTCTCTCTCTCCCCCTCTTCTTTTGGGCCTTATGGTTTTCAATGCAGATAGTTTATCTTTTCTTATAATTGCATACTATATCATTGTGCATAATAGAAATTCTTCATCCACTCATCTGTCACTGGACATTCTAGTTGTTTTCAGGTTCAGGTTATTTCTCTAAGTGATACAATGAACATAGATGTGCACGTGTCTCTTCAAGCTAATATTCGTGTGTGGTAAATGCACAGAGAAGGAATCTCTGGTTATATGGACACTCTAGTTTTATATTTTTGGATTTCCAGACTACTTTATATAGAAGCTACCAGATGACTAGTCGATGAGGGTTCCTTTTACTACTGGTTGCTTCCCGTCTTTTGATAACGCCATTCTCATTGGTGTGAGGTAGTATTTCTTTGACATTCTGATTTACATTTACCTGAATAAAAGTGATGATGAACACTTTTTCATATGCCTGGCCATCCAAATGTCCTCTTTGAAGGAAGTGTTTTTTCACCTCCTCTCCCACTTTTGATGGTATCATTAAATTTTTGTTATTGTTGAGCTTTATGAGGACTTCTGTGTCTTGAGTATTAGCCCCTCATCTAATATATAGTGTGTGAACATTTCTTCCATTTAGAAGGGTGTCTTTACTTTTATCCCGTTTCTTTTGGTATGTAAAAAAATTTTAATTGGTATAGTGCAATTTTCTTATTTTTGTTATCTTTGCTAATGGAAGCAAATAACTGAAGGCACCTCTGAAATCCATATCCTAGATAGCTCTGCCTGCATATGTTCTTCTCAACATGTTCTATGGATTCAGGTTAATCTTGATGTCAGTAATCCATTCTTAATTAGTTTTTGCATATTTTATGCAAAAAAGGTTTCTTTTGTATATACCTATCCAGTTTGCTCAGGATGAATGAAGGGGCATTCCTTGCTCTACTGAGTATAGCCAGATTATTTATTTATTTATTTATTTATTTATTTTTAAATTTTTATTAGTGAAACACCATGAGGTACAGTTGTAGACTTAAAAATTTTTGTTCTTGGGTGTCAATTATACAGTGTTCAAGTACCCATCCCTCCACCAGTGCCCATTCTTCAACACCACTGATCCCAGTATCTCTCCCACTTCCCTTCCCCCCCCCCCCATCCCACCCTGTCTCTGTGGCAGGGCATTCCCCTCTGTTCTCTCTCTCCTTTTGGGTGTTGTGGTTTGCAAAAGAGGCATTGAGTGGCAATCATGTTTGGTCTATAGTCTACTTTCAGCATGCTTCTCCCATCCTGAGAGGATCCTCCCAACACCCTTTATTTGGTGCTCCCTTCTCTGTCTGAGCTGCCATTTCCCCTAGCGTGTGCTATAGCCAGATTTTTTTTTGAAATTTTTAAAAATTTTATTTTAATGAAGCATTTTTTAAATAATTTTATTAGCCATTTAGTGGTGGCAAGCAATATAAAATAAAATATTGTGGACCTGCTGTAGGGGCAGGCTTTGAGGAATGGTTAGGAAAATGGAGACAATGGTGGAGGGAATGTCACAGTGATTGTGGAATTGGGGTTGGAATATTGAATGCCTATAACAAACGCATCATAAACAACTTTGTAAACCAGTGTTTAAATCAATTGGGGGAGGAGAAAAGGAACCGGTACATATGCACAATGGAATACTAGATAGGATGAAGTCCTGCGATTCTCTGTTAGCTGGATGGAACTAGAGGGTGTCATGCTGATTGAAGTCAATCAGAAGGAAAGGGACAGATAGAGAATCATTTTTCTCATGTGTGGATTACAAAGAAACATAAAAGAGAATAACAAAAGGCTAAAGTGAATAACGGCCAACGTAACAGAACCTGGGAGTAGTTCTAGAGAACTAAGTTTGCCAAGATGGTGGGAAGGGTCCTTTAGACACTGGTGGAGGGACAATGGCACAAGTGGGAGGTGTGGTGTTAGAACACTGTATGCTGCAAAGTTTATTATTAGTAAATTTTGATCTGGCACTATAGCTGGTGGTGCTCAGTGCTTATTCTGGCTCTGCACTTAGGGATCACTCCTGGTAGAGTTTGGGAGACCACATAGGCGAATTTTTTTATTATACATTAGCTGTACATAGATCTGAGGACTTATCTCTTGGATCTCATTTCTATTCTACTCATTTGAGGGTGCATCTTGACTCCAGTTATGCACACACAAATGTATGTTTTTTATAGCTTTATAGTATAACTTGAATTCCAGAAATGCAATACCTTCAATGTTCTTTACAATTAGAACTGCTTTGACAGGGATTCTTTGATACCACACACAGTTTAGCCAAAAGGGAGTAAGTTTTATAGCAGTCAGGGATGCCATCAATACTGCCATGAAATATTTCCTGGAAGAGGCATGTGTGACATTTTATACATTTCTCAACATAGAAAAGAGCAAAGACAAACAAAACATAAATTTTGTGGCCATATCCCCGTATACTGTGTTTATCTATCTAATGAAATAGGTAAAAAAAAAAAATAAGTACTACCGGATGATTTTTCCCGAGGTAATTTAGCTGAAAGAAATGTAATCTGTGACTTTACTAATTTTGTTTTTTCCTTTTTCATATTTAAATGTTTTTATTTATTTGTTTGTTTCCTTGATTTTTGGGTCCACATCCAGCAGTGCTCGGGGGTTACCTCTCTCTCTGCACTCAGGGATCACACCTGATGGGGCTTGGGGGACCATATGGGATGCCAAGGATAGAACCTGGTAGGCCTGCATGCAAGGCAAGTATCTTATCCACTGTGCTATCTCTCCAGCCCCCAAATGTTTTTGTTTCTTTCAGTAATGACTAGCAAGAGCATTTGCCAGTTGAAGCTGTTTCTAAGAAGTCCTACATCATCAATCCCCCATATTCTTTACTATTTCAGAGGCGTTGTTCCACAGTCTGCTAAGGCTTATCTTGATCCCCTTCCTGTGCTTCTGTCAGGAAATGCCGTCTGGGGTCACAGCTTGCCCCTGCTTAGCCACATTCTGAGGAAACATGAGCCCAAGCATGAGGGCACAGCACGTCTGATCACAGGGCATGTCAGGAGCCATAATCTCAATTTCATAATCTTGCCTTCTTTCATTATGTTTACATGCAGCTTTTTGTGTCATGCAAATCACATTTTTATTTATTATATACAAAATTATTTTTACTATGGACAATGCATAAATAAACTATATTACCACCAAGGCAAAGAAAACTCTCATTAACAATGTCGTATTTTTCTTACCTCCCTCTTGTTTCTATTTTTATTTAGGCTCTAAATTACAAAATGCTTAATAAAAGGGTTTCAAGCACACACTATTCCAACATCAAGTTTTTGCTTTGCAACTTTTAAAAAGGCAGTATTGAAATTTTCCTAAATATAGGTATTTTTTTTTACTTAGAGCCTTAGCAGTTTATAGCTACCATACTGTTCAGCATTTGAGTTTCTAGCTGACCTCCTAGGGCAGTTAAGTAGGGAAATAGCTACTCTACTATACACATAAATAAATAGCTTGTTAAGAAATAAATAGTTCAACTAGATTATTGGTTCATTTTCCTTTGGGCCATATCCGGTAGTGCTCAAACATTATTCCTGACTGTACTTAGGGTTCACGCCCAGAAGCGCTCAGCAGTATACATTCAGAGCAGCGGGTCTAACCAAGTCTGTCACATGTAAGACAAGTACCTTAACCCCTGTACTGTCTCTCTGGCTCTGATTCACTTTTCTTTACACTGAAAGCACACATGAAATTCATCTGAGCCAATTTTACTTTCCCACACTTTTCACTAATAATAAATACAAAAATACATTGTTATTTTTTCATCCTCTGGAGTTTAGAATTTTTACATTAGTTTGTTTTACTATGTGGGGAACTGGAAAATAAAAATTAAATAAGAAATATAATCATTTAGGGGAGGTGATGGAAGGGAAACTGAGACATTGCTGGTGGGAAATGTACACTGGTGAAGGAATGGGTGTGTATGACTGAAACCCAATCATGAACAGTTTTGTAATTGTGTATCTCACAGTGATTCATTAAAAAGGGGGGAGGGAGAAACAAAATTCCTTTGGAATAAAACCCACAAGTGATCATAACAAGCACCAGCTTATAAAAAATGAACAGGGAAAACATTAGAATATAAAAAATAAAAATATTTCACTTTATTCTATTAAGTAACCATATGTGCTGTTAATCCTTACTCTGTTGTTACTCAGAACTTTAGCTGTAAGTGAAAGTGAAGGTTATATTTGAAGTTTTTAGAGAATTGAACCCAGAAGCACTGCTTACTTTGTAGGTAGGAATTTCCCTGTAAGAGAAAATACAAAGTTCATATAGGCAAAGTGCCTTCCATTGATAAACTACTTAATTAAAAACATTTTCCTAGAAATTTAAGGAGTAGAATTACTTTAAAAAATTAAAATTTATTATTTTTTTCAATGTAGGATTATTGCTATTCATTCAGCCACTGATTAAGCTGATTTAAGCTGATTCAAGCTGGTATAAACTTCACTAATAATTTTTTTGGGTCACACCCTGCGATGCACAGGGGATACTCCTGCTTCTGCACTCAGGAACCACCCCTGGCAGTGCTCAGGGGACCATATGGGATGCTGGGAATCGAGCCTGGGTTGGCTGCGTGCAAGGCAAATGCCCTCCCCGCTGTGCTATTGCTCCAGCCCCAAACACTAATAAATTTTTTAAAGAAAAAAATATGTGAAAGGGAGGGATGCCTGCACTGCTAGTAAAGATGTACAAATATTCATCTACACTGGTATCTCATAGCTTATCGATCTGGGAGATGATTGGGCAATCTCTTCAACCTAAAAAGGAAAGTAAAGTAAAGGCCCTCCCATTGTTCATCGATTTGCTCCAGTGGGCCCAGTAAGGTCTCCATTGGAGATTTTGTTGTTACTGTGTTTGGCATATCGAATACATCAGAGGTGGCTTGCCAGGCTCTGCCGCAGGGGCGAGATACTCTTGGTAGCTTGCCAGGCTCTCCTCTCTAAACCTAAGTGTTGTTTCCTGGGGGCCCAAAAGCTGGATGCAGTTTGGGACACAGAATCTATTGCCCTGTTGCCTTGTTCCTCCCACAGGTTGGGGTGAGTGACTGCTCCTGTGACCGCCAGTTAATTTCCCCCACCCTATCTCATTCAGGGAAAGAAGATACCACCATCCCCAAACCCCGCCAGCTCCTTCCCAGGCAGTGAGGGGGATTAGGCTAATAGCGTGCTAGAAAGAATCAACCTCCAGAGTACAGTGGGCATCATGGGTAAACAGCGCAGAAAAACACAATGAGGAGTGGATGAATAGAGGAGCCCTGAAACTCACATAGGTAATCTCTCTGAAGAAAATTCAGAAACAAACTAGTGAGAATGCTTAATGAGCTCAAAGATACAGTGGAATGGACAGCCAATAAAATACAGAAGGAAATTAGATTAGTGATAAGAAAATTGCAAACAGAAATCCATTAATTAAAAATTTGGTTGATGAAATAAAAACTCAATGGGTGCCCTTAGCAGGAGAGTAACAACGGCTGGAGATAGAATCACTGAACTTGAGGATGAGATGCAGAAAACCTCTAAGGAACATCAAAAGATAGAGAAAATCCACAAAATAACTCCAATCTAGATCAGAGAACTCTGGGATGAATTGAAGAGGAACAACAAAAGAATCATTAGAGTACCATGGGGGACAGGGAGGCAACCCCAAGGAGATATTAGTAGGTAAAGACATCATTCCCAGTGCTGGAGAATGCAGACATCCTGATCCAAGAAGACCACAGAGTACCATCTAAAATAGGTCCTAATAGAAAAGACCCCAAGGCATATTGTAATCAGAATGACAAATACCGTAGATAGAAATACAATACTGAGAGAAGAGGTGGAGGTGGAGGAGGAGGAGGAGGCGGAGGAGGAGGAGGAGGCGGCTCGGAGAGCGAGCAGCGAGCTGGAGCACGAGCGTGAGTGAAGCCAGCCCGCCCGCTCGCCGCCGCCGCCGCCGTCGCACCGCCCGGCCCGGCCGCCGCGCCGCGCCAGCCCCGCCCTCGTCGCCAGGCCGCAGCGGCCGCGCGCGCCAGCCGCCGGGGAGCGAGCGAGCGAGCGAGCGAGCCCGGGAGGAGGCGGCCGGAGCGAGCGAGGAGCCGCGCGTGTGGCGAGAGGGGAAGCCGCCGCCGCCGCCGCCGCCCCCCCACCCCCCCCCCGCCGCCCGTCGCCTGCCCTTCGCGCCTCCCCGCCCGCCCCCCCGCGGGAGCAGCACCGTGTCGGCGCCGGCGGCCAAAGTCAGTAAACAGGAGCTCAACTCCAACCACGACGGGGCCGACGAGACCTCAGAAAAAGAGCAGCAGGAAGCGATTGAACATATTGATGAAGTACAAAATGAAATAGACAGACTTAATGAGCAAGCCAGTGAGGAGATTTTGAAAGTAGAACAGAAGTATAACAAACTCCGCCAACCATTTTTTCAGAAGAGGTCGGAATTGATCGCCCAAATCCCCAACTTTTGGGTAACAACATTTGTCAACCATCCACAAGTGTCTGCGCTGCTTGGGGAGGAGGATGAAGAGGCGCTGCATTATTTGACAAGAGTTGAAGTGACAGAATTTGAAGATATTAAATCAGGTTACAGAATAGATTTTTATTTTGATGAAAACCCTTACTTTGAAAATAAAGTTCTCTCCAAAGAATTTCATCTGAATGAGAGTGGTGATCCATCTTCAAAGGCCACTGAAATCAAATGGAAATCTGGAAAGGATTTGACGAAACGCTCAAGTCAAACACAGAATAAAGCCAGCAGGAAGAGACAGCATGAGGAACCCGAGAGCTTCTTCACTTGGTTCACTGACCATTCGGATGCTGGTGCAGATGAGCTCGGCGAGGTCATCAACGACGACATTTGGCCAAACCCATTGCAGTACTACTTGGTTCCTGACATGGATGATGAAGAAGGGGAAGGAGAAGAAGATGACGACGATGATGAAGAGGAAGAAGGATTGGAAGATATTGATGAAGAAGGGGATGAAGATGAAGGTGAAGAAGATGAAGATGACGACGAGGGAGAGGAAGGAGAGGAGGATGAAGGAGAAGATGACTAACGGAACACTGACGGATTCCAATCTTTTTTAATTTTCTCCAATCCCTGGGAGCAAGATGCAGTCTTTTTTCTTTTCTCTCCCCCTCCCCTAGCCCTGCCCCGCCCCTCCCCGTCCCCACTCCCTGTGCTCAGTCTGTCGCCCTGTTTTTTGAGGTCTCTTTTTCTCTCCTTTACACCATGGTTCTCTACCTAATTCGGGGAAATACCTTGAACAGAATTCAGTGGGGAAAGACTACTGGTTTCTGTTCCAAATTAAATTTTATCACTTCTCGTCTCAACACAGACTTGATGGAATCTACACCACCGTGCGCTGCGGGGAAAAAAGAAAGACCTTCTGCACCCTTAGCTCTGCTGAAGCTGGAGGGCCAGGCCCCTGTGTAGTAGTGCATAGAATTCTAGCTTTTTTTCTCCTTTCTCTGTATATTGGGCTCAGAGATGACACTGTGTCTCTATGTGAATATGGACAGTTAGCGTTTACCAACATGTATCTGTCTACTTTCTCTTGTTTAAAAAAAGAAAAAAAATCTTTAAAAAAATGGGGTTATAGAAGGTCAGCAAAAGGGTGGGTTTGAGATGTTTGGGTGGGTTAAGTGGGCATTTTGACAACATGGCTTCTCCTTTGGCATGTTTAATTGTGATGTCTAACGGACATCCTTGCAGTTTAAGGTGACACTTTTAAAATAAAATTCTCTCCTAATGATGACTTGAGCCCTGCCACTCGATGGGAGAATCAGCAGAACCTGTAGGATCTTATTTGGAATTGACATTCTCTATTGTAATTTTGTTCCTGTTTTATTTTTAAATTTCTTTTTTTGTTTCACTGGAAAGAAAAGATGCTCAATTTTAAACGTTAAAAAGTGTACAAGTTGCTTTGTTACAATAAAACTAAATGTGTACACAAAGAAAAAAAAAGAAATACAATACTGAAAGAAGCAAGATCAAAGAAAGGAATTACATGCAAAGATTTACAGCATGTAATTCCTTAGATTTACAGCGAAACTATTGAATGAAACCCTGTAATCCTGAGGACAGTGGTGCGATATAGTTCAAAAACTTAACAAAATGAAGGCTTCACTAAGATTCTTATTCAGATTTGAAAGAATGATAGAGAAATTCACGGATTAACAATAGCTCAGGAACTTCATAGGCTGAAAATCAATCTTAAAAGAAAAACTCAAGGGGTAACAACTGTAAGGCAAGACAAACTCCATAAGCATAAAATTCCTCTAAAAGAAAGATGGCACAAAACCCCATCACAATAATCAATGATGTAAATGTTCCGGTTATAAGACACAGGTGGCAAAATGGATTAAATAATTGAATCTAAAATTCTGCTGTCTACAAGAAACACATTTGAATAGTTCAAGCAAACACATACTCAAAGTGAAAGCCTGGAAAGTAGTTCTTCAAACAAACAACTTCCTCAAAAAAGCCAGGTTGATCATACTAGTATCCTGCGACATGCATTTTAGGCTGAAAAAGGTTACAAGAGACAATAAATGTCATTTATTAATAATCAAGGCATGCATATATCAGGAAGAAATTACACTCCTGAATGTGTATGTGCCCAATGAGGGACCAGCAAAATACTTAAAACAACTACTAATAGACTTGAGGAAAGACATTGGAAGCAACACATTATTAGTTATAGACCAGTACTGCCCTGTCACCCCTTGATAGGTTAATGAGGTTAAAACCCAGCAAGGAAATACTGGATTTAAAGGATGAAGTGGGATAGAGGGAGTCAGTAGATATTTAGGGCCCTTCATCCCCCAAAAGCTGAATATACATTCTTCTCCAATGAACATGAAACAGTTTCCAAGATAGATCACATGCTTGGACACAAAACACACCTCTAAAACATTAAGAGGACAGAAATGGTATCAACTCTCTTTTCAGATCATGAGGCACTGAAATTAGAAGTTAGTAACACACATAAATGGAGAATCAAATTAAATACCTGGAAAATAAACAACTGGCTATTGAGCAATCAGTGGGTTAGAGAGGAAATCATAAGATTCCTGGAAGCAAATGAGAGTGAGGACATGAGATGGCAGAACTTGTGGGATACAGCAAAAGCACCTTTAAGAGGAAAGTCTATAGCTCTGCAAGCATACATCAGGAAGGAAGAAAGGCCCACCTAAATAACCACACAGCTTAAAATCTTAGAAAATAGACCAACAAAAGGAGCCCAAATCAGGCAGGAGGAAGAAAGAAAAAACAAAACTTAGAGCAGAAATTAACAAGCTGGAATCCCAAAACACAATCAAAATGATCGATAAAACCAAGAGCTGGTTCTTTGAAAAAATAAACAAGACCGCGAAACCACTAGCAAGACTCACACTAAAGAGAGACAGAGAGAAGAGAGAGAGAGAGAGAGAGAGAGAGAGAGAGAGAGAGAGAGAGAGAGAGAGAGAGAGAGAGAAGAAAAGTACCTGCCACGGAGGCAGGAGGTAAGCTGGTGCTCTTGGTGGTGGGAAATGTACACTGGTGAAGGGACGGATTTTGGAAAAAGGTAAAAAAATAAACCATTGTGTCATGATGCTGGACTGGAGCAATAGCACAGTGGTAGAGTGTTTGCCTTGCATGCAGCAAGCCCGGCCAAGCCGGGTTCAATTCCTCTGCCACTCTCGGAGAGCCCAGCAAGCTATAGAGAGTATCTTGCCCTCACAGCAAAGCCTGGCAAGCTCCCTGTGACGTATTCAATATGCCAAACAAACACAGTAACAGCAAGTTTCAAAAATGAAGATGTTACTGGACCCGCTCGAGCAAGTCGATGAACAATGGGAGGACAGTGTTTGTTGGACAGTTTGTCATGATACTAGTTTTTAAAGAGCAATTTAGGAAGTTATGAAATTGACTACCAAGCAGTCAATAATGGAAGATATACACTTGTTATATTCTCTTAATGTACCTGACTCCGGTTTATACTTTTCATTAATTTTGATGTCATGATTTCTCCAACATTCCAATGGTATATATGTATACAACTATATGTGTATATATATATATATATTTCATCCTTTTTAAAATATTTTTACATTAAAATTCTCATAACAGAGGAATTAAGACACATTCCCTGTACATTTAAAATACCAGTTTAAAGTCTATGACATCTGAAAAAGGAATCCTCATTTACTATTCAAGGGAATTTTGTCTGTTCAGCCTCTATGAAAAATAGTATGGAGAATTTTCTAAAAAACAAGAATGAAATATCCATATGGCCTAGTGATTTTACTTTTCAACATCTATCCTCTAAGTACCAAATCTTTAATTTGAAAGATATATGAACACCGATCTTATTACAGCACCAACTGCAATAGCCGCACTATTGAAACAACCTAAAGATGAATGGATAAAGAATTTGTGGTATGTGTACACAATGGAATAATAGGCATCTATAACGAAAAATGAAATCTTTTAGTTCACTTCCATTTGCCTGGAACTGGACAACATAATATCAAGTGAAATAAATCAGAGGGAGAATAAAATATCAGATGGTCTCACTCAACTGTGATCTACAAAGAAACAGAGCGATGAAATGTTACTATCAAATGATAACAACTCTTATTACAAAACTGGTACTACGAAACAAGGGGAAGAGTTGGGGGGAGATAAAGAGGATGGAGGTGACACAGTGACATTGGTGGAGGCTTTGAGGAACTTTGATGGTGGGGAGTTATATTAACTGTACACACTCAAACTTTAAATGTTAACACTTGTAAACATGTGAAAACCATAATGATTAAATTTAATAAAATTTAAATCTATTAAATCTTAAAATTACTAAAAAACTTGATTAATTTATTTTTGTGTGTGAAGCAAAACAGTTTTATATTAAAATTTCCACAGAGAAAAGTAAAGGGAAAACAGGAGAGAAAGAAAGACATACCTAAGAGAGAACACAAGTTTCTTCAGGGCAGGTGGAAGTCTTATTTTCTTCTCTTGGTTTCATATAGGAAATTGGACACTAAAATCTAAATGTGGGAAATTATTTCTGTATTCAAATGGCAGTGGAATGACACAAATCTATCTGGAGTGTCTTTTGAATTCCAGTGCAGCTACTATCACTCAACACTGTGCCAACCATCTTCCTGAGATGAGAGAAAATAATAATGCATGACAAGTTGCAGTTTCCATGTGTATGTCCGCATTGACAGGTACAAAGAAGAACATGCTTTTTGTAGCTGTAAATTCATACTAATGGAGGATTGTTTTCTCTCTATTTGCCAAATGAACAAAATGACAGAGGGGAAAAACTTAGAGTCAAGTACATCTGGCAATGATGAGCACATAAGGTCATTGGGACCAAAGCCGTAATACAGTGGGCAAGGTGTTTACCCCCACCCGGAGTGATCCCTGAGCATAGAGACAGGAGCAAGTCCTGAGCATCACTGCATATGGGACAAACACAAACCAAAAATAAAGAGGCAGAGAAAGAGTATTCACTATACAAAATCTCCTCATTAGGATGGTTTCACACACACTATCTTCTGTGCTCACTGTTTAGAAATCACACAATGAAATTCTGTCTATGGGCCTATTCCAATAATTACAAAGAAAGAAAGCAGGAAATAACATGAAAAAGAAAAAGGGTGGGCTGCTGGAGAAAAAATACAAAGATTCTGTTGCACATGACCAACCCTACTTGGATCCCTGAATAGCCAGAAACTGGAAACAACTCGGGTGTCCGAGAACAGATGACTGGTTAAAGAAACTTTGGTACATCTACACAATGGAATACTATGCAGCTGTTAGAAAAGATGAATTCATGAAATCTGCTTAAAAGTGGTTGGTCATGGAGAGTATCATGCTAAGTGAAATGAGTCAGAAAGAGAGAGACTGGCATAGAATGACTGCACTCATTTGTGGAATATAAAATATCACAATATGAGACAAACACCCAAGGACAGTAGAGACAGGGTCAGGAAGATTTGTCCATGGCTGAAAGCTTGCTTTATGAGCTGGGAGAGAAGGCAGCTGGGACAGAGAAGGGATCCCTAAATAAATGGTGGTTGGAGGGATCTCTCTGGGTGGGAGATGTGTGCTGAAAATAAATAAGGACAAAACATGATGGCCTTTCATTATTGCAAACCATAATGCCCAAA